TTGCGGTTACAATTATAGGTAGAATTTGAAGTATATGAAATTGATATTTCACTACATTTGTTGATACATCATGTTGATTGTTTCAACATACATACTTCATTATGTTGTCAGTGTTTGTATTATTTCGATTTCAATTATATCTCCTGCGAATTATTGGTTGTCCTTATTACCTCTAATTGCAGCAGGTGATCCTTACAAAGAAAAAACGGCAGTTTTTTCTAATATATTTTTACAAAAATCAAAGTTTCACTTGCTACTGCTACAATTTTCCTGATGAATTTCAATATATCGATATATTTCAAATTACCAGTCATATCTAACATGGATTTTATGTAATGTTGGATGTTTCCGTCTTTGATGCTTCTCTAAAATCTGTGGTTTTGAACGCACGCAAATTTTAAAAGCAGTTGAAGTCGTCGCGTCGACGCTCGCCTGCTCCTCCACAGCGCGCAACTCGCGCGCCTCTTGAAGCGCCCGGTCCAGTGACCAAATTCAGTTAATTTTGAATAAATTGGATGAATAAATTCCACTGTATTAATGAAATGTAACTAACTAGTCATTTATGATTTGGATTTGGCGGAATTGTATTTTTTATTGAATTCTTGTTCTCGTGATAACATATGAAAGTTAAATCTTCAATAAATATTTTGTTTTTCGACCCATTTTTGACAATGATAAAAAGAAATATTCGACTAGTTCATATTCTCAAATCAAAAAGTCATATTAATAAAATTATAATTGAAAAAAATTCTTTTACGGCCTTTTTCCGAAGTTTTAAACAATAAACAGAATTTCGCAAACTAAGTTAAGTAAATGAAACTAGAGTCAAGTCCCATAGTATCACTTTAATTGTCTAGAATATAGTTCTGGTTATTGGATTTGGGGACCGGCTGTGAGACCGACCGCGAATTCTGGCCGTAAAATTGCCCGACACGTATAGCTTGTGGCCCGATACCACAACTACGTGTAAGTTGTCATGGGCATATTTGTGCAGTTTCTGGGTATTCATTTCAGTGGTCAACTGAGAACTTAAAATATGTACAAAATAAAAGACATTTTCCTTTAAATTTGAAGTCCAATATAAATGAATATCGGCGGATATCGTGAATATTTGCATGAACTTGAAAGGCAATTCAGACGCAGTTTTGTTGTCAGAATAATTGTTTACGCTAAGAAACCGAGAGGAAATCAGTCCATGAAAATTTTGATGAAATGCGAATATAATGACGACGCACAAAACTTTCTGAGGCGCATGTTTCAGCGACGGTTCAAATTTTTGTAAAGTCATTCCTCTTGATAAATGTGGGATTAATGGAATGCATTGATAAATAAATGACGCAATCGAGGACTTGATTCCAGAATTATGACTGGGACAGTTGCGCCGGCGAGTTCGGAGAAGTGTCGATCCAGTGAACAGCTTTGAAGTATAACAGCTCTCAACCTGCTACCGACGTCCACACTGTTTATTAACGTTTTTGATTGTAAAACTATTCCCTACGAGAAATTCGTTTAGTTGATATCAGAGCTACGATGAATTCTTGGCCGTGATTTGTGATACTTTGGTGCTGGCGCGAGTTCAATTGTCAGAAGCTGGGCACTAAGAAATGTTCACCCAAGTATAGTCATATTGGAATTAGTTCATTATAAATTCAGTATTTAGTCTATTTATCACAAAATTTCCTCATATTTTGGGGCACGGTTGCTGGAATTTACACTTACTGGAACATGCAAGCACTTACCAAATGATTCAGCTGTTCTTGCTTAAAATTTTCCATCCATACCGGCAATGGACACCGGTTAAGGTTTTTCAATATAAGTCTATATAAAACCATACAACATGTCAAACGTTCACATGCGGTATTGCGCGGACACGATCGAACTGCACTTGCTGAGCCCGAAGTTTATCTGTCAGCAATGATGTTTTTTCAACTCGATCACTTATTTAACGGGACAAACGATATCAAGTGCTAATAAATTATTTGAAGTTAAGCAATTAATGAAATTATTCATTGTATGTCTGCTATGCATAGCATATTCATGAAACAGAATCTAGCTGACGGCAACGAAGTTTGAATGTTAATTAGTTTAGTTAATTAGATTAGTCTGGGATACAAGCGTTTTCTAATGCTTTAATTTAATATATAGTGTTCAGTAGTTAGCTGAAGATATTTAAGTATGCCAAAAAATATGATGATTTCAGATATATTTAGTAAAAATTATCTATAGAATATTAACATATAATGAATAATGGAGAGATATTTCAAAGTGTATAGTTATAATGTATCGTAGTGAGGGAGAAAAAGAAGCGTCTGAAAATTACCGCGAGAAGGTAGCCTTCATGGTCCTTCCGTGAAGCCTTCTTGACGAATCAGAAATTCAATATTGTATATTTATTATTTAGATATATCTATCTGATTTATGGAAAGCCTACACCACGGCGCTGATTCGCTCCTTACGTGCATGTGAAATTTTATCAATTCTTATACAAGCTAACTGAAGTTTGGCATCGCTAAGGTTTAATGTGAATTAGAAGACAACAATTAGAACTAGACAGACAATCAACGTCCAACTCGAGGAAGACATGCGCATGAAACGCGCCTGATAGCCGAAAATGATCACCGCACTACAGCGCATGCATTCACCCCGAACCTCGTAGTGCCCAGCTGAGAGCAACACCAGCTCAATTGAACATTATTGGGGGAAACGCGGCTAAGACTTTCAAGATATAAACTTCTATCGTTCTTTTCATTTAATGATAATGGCCAAGAACCATTTCAGAGTTTGTGACACAATTTTTATTTACAACCTGTGATACGATTCTTCTTTACAAATGCCTTCAAATAATCATCAGCTAGGTAATGCCATCCATGCCCCAGTGCACAGCCTCCTCTGAGTAGCCAGTTACTAAATATTTCTTATTAACCCGTTGGGGCTCAAAAATACAGTCATATATAAATTTAAGTGCAATTAAGCAAGATATTGTGATGGGAGTGATTGATATAACAATAAACTGAATATGCAGTTAATCAGGCAAAATTCAGCACAAACTGAACTATTTCTGCCACTCAAGGACATAAAATGACTGACACATAAAAAATGGATTTTTGAATGTACTGCAAACCTACATCACCAATCATATTTCACTGATATAGCTCTATTATTAAAATTTGGAACATGTAGCAAGCTTTCTGATTATCTAGATTAATTTACTCATACTAGATTCTTTTCAGAATTCGATCCAACACACGGAAGGAAATTGCCGTGCCACGATTCAGATTAAATAAAAATAACGGGACTTATAGAACGAAGATCGCATATTGCGAGTAATTAAACTAATAACATTCCAGAGTACCAATAACCATCCAATAGTCGCAATTATCGAGAAATTTGACCTGTTTAATATGAATTTTTTCCTATAAATATGTTAAAGGTTCATAGGTGTGTATATTCAGTTATAAGTAAAGCACGCTTGAGCGTCTGCAACTTGGTGGACAATTGCACGAACTTTTCTGAGTGTCTCGCCTATTTGTACAATTACAAATGGGTAGCACTTGCTCAGCCACAGCCTCCAGAGTCCTGACTGAGCCACGCGTGCAGCCCTAACAAGAAAGTAGTCTCCCTTGCAATCGAAAACTCTCTCGTCTCGTTTTTCATGTTGCCGGATTTCATGGATAGGCTTAGGAAAATCAGTTCCGCTAACGATTTTCAGGCTATTACATCTTCCAATAAATTCACCTGCAGAATGCTTCATTCTTCACTGCTTGTTGTTGTGTTTCTAACTTCTAGGAATCTAGGTCCATTTCTTTTGAAAAGCATTTAATAGGATTCCGATCCGCGACTCTCGCATGAGTCCTTTAATCGTTGATTTTGTTTTTTTTTTGCTATAAAACTCAGTGTGTTGTCAGGAAATTACATGAGATGAATTTAAATTGCAGCGTCTTAACTTGAAACCTATTTTGCTGCTCTCATTTTGAAAATCCATATCGATGTTTGAAAAAGAATTCGATTGTAATAATAATTTATTGCAAGTTGAAATCGTACGAGAGTTGATGACACACATAGCAAGATAATCGAATATGCCAATAAAATATTCTTATTTCTGTATATTCAGTAGAACTTTATGCATTTGTACCCCTATTGAGAATAGGAGAGAAAGTGTAATTAGTTAGATTATAAGTTATGCAAGGGAGGTTAATGAAGAAGCGATTGTATCTATGGAAGTAACCGCGAGGAAGAAGCCCTCACGGAACGTCAGTGATGCTGCTTTGATTAAGTAGATGGTAAATATTGTATAATTATTGCTTAACTAGATGTCATGAATTAAATTTGTAATTTTGATCATTATTCACATTAATTGCAAAGTTTTTGCAATCGTTTGAAACTGCATACAAGCCTTGAAAATACGATAAAATTTGGGCTTTCAAAGTTTTTCTGCGCGAAATAATGGGATATTTTATTTGAAGTGAAGCGTGTATCAATAAATGGAATCAATTAATAAATCTTTGACTACTCGGCCGCGTCGAAAGCCTTAAGTTTAGGTCTAAGTTTTTGAAGTGCCCAGTAATTGGAGACGAAAGTGCTATTCTGAAAAATATTGTGACCTGCTGCAAATGGAATCTAAACTAAATAAGAAATTTACCACCGACATGGTCACGTGCAAAATTATAAAATTGGTGCGGCCAATTACTGCGGGGCACTTGTATCCAACAGCTTCTCCTGAGCGCAAAATCGAAATATGCAAATTCTTTAAGCTTTTCGACGGTAAAATAGCGCAATTTATTCATTTTTGACATCATATACAGAAATTGTCTATACGAAATAGACGGAATTTGGAATAATTGATTCCAATATTGGACAAAACTTTGGGAAGCAAGGAAACTAATCAATAGGAATTGAGGTCAAACAAAACACGATTACAAGCAAGTTTCAAATAGTAGATTCTTTTATGAAATTAACTAAATGGCATTAATGCCATCATCCCTAAGCTTGTTCGGTACTGCCTCCAAAATTTGCGGTAGCGACTCCACTTCACTGGGTGTGAAGAGGCAATGGAGTTGCGCCTTGCTTCCGCGTCTGCCCAACCCGTAAATCCTGGACAATCAAAAACGAAACGGTGATTACAGTGATCATGAAAAAAAAAAATGCTCGGACGTTAAAAGGGCTCAATGCGAAAAAGGTCCTTTTTAAGGAAAGGTGAAAGAGGGCTGCGCATCGTAGCAAAAAGATAATCCGAGTCATTAAAAGGGTTTACCATACGTTCGTATAAGTTATAAGGTTTTTATTGCTATAAAGTTAATAATTCAACAAATGTTTTAAGGAATAGTTTCAAAATTGATAATTACGGGCTTATTCTTTGTTCGGGTCATAAGTGAAAGGGAACAGGATTTAGCACCTCACTACCACCCACTCCGTGCCTACGAAGGTGGGGTGACGTACCTGAGGTACTAAAAAATCCCTCGGTGAACGTCGGTGCGTAGCTGGTCCAGCGGCTGGTACACACCCGCGCAGATGTTGCCGGGGCCAAAAAACGTAGTCGTAGCCAACGTGGTAACCAGGAGTGCCGAAGGAGGTCATCGTAGTGCTGACAACACCAAATCCAGCACGTGCCCAATGCTCGCATCCAAATCCCAACCGTACTCGGGCGAGGCTTCCGAAGTTAAGCTTCTACTCCATGAATGCTAGAACAGGTTCGAGGCTGTACATCTCGGTGGCGTATCAATGAAGATCCCACAAGGAAATGTGAACTGACGTGAAGTCAATCAAAACAGGGGTGAAGTGAAGCAGCACGGGCGATATTAGTTTCACCTCAATTGTACTCGTTAAAACTGCATGACGCGTCACCCCAAGTAAAGCACAGAGTAAGTAGTAATGAGGCTATGACCCGAAAAGCTTTAACTACTCAAAATTATAGAAAAACTAATCTTAGTTTTTTGTTTAAATATAGTTTCAATGCGACTCTACAATTACTTGAGTTACCCTATCAAATAACTTTTCCTCGTTGATTCATATATACCTAAACAATCGAAATTACTTAATTTATTTGAAAAAAATATCGTGTGAATATTTTTTAAATTCACAGTATTACATCATGGATGAAAGATACTATGAAATTAGCGTAATTTTACATTAAATTTCATATCTCACATGACTTATGTATGTATGAGGCACTCACCTCTTGAAACCTACAATAATGGGATGGTATAAAAATGCTTTAATGTGATTTGTAACTTTTAGAGGTCATCGTAACGGCTAACCGTGAAATGTTATAGGAGCTGATTTATTAGAAATCTGAAGGTAACTCATATCCGAGAAAAATGTCGCCACCTGTATAAGGTTGTGAATTCAATGTCGGATGGCACCGGTTGGAAATCTTCGACAAGAGAGATGGACCGAGCCCTAGGCCAGTCGTTACGCAGCAATCCTCCCGTGAGCAACCCATGTCTAGGCATTGTTGACCGTAGCCATTGCGTCATCACCTGCTTTGTTTAAACTCCACTAATCCTGCCTTTAATGGTGATCGTCTCGTACAATCTGGTGTAGAGTGAAGTTTTGGTTCGAACTTGCCTCTCCACGCGACTAATTTACATAGTAGAAGTTTGGTTTGACTTTGGTGATGTTGATAAGAAACGCGCTTATGCATATGATCGAAGATTCATGATCCCAATTCCTGCAAATTGGTAAGTAAAATCACTCCAGATCGAACATTTGACCAACATTTATAGCAACAATTCTACAAATATTCTTTTTATTAGCCATTATATATATAGTTTATGTTTATATATACATTCGTTCTGAGGCTCTGAGCTTGGGAAGCGTCGTGGCGTAACTGACCGGCATCAATGAAGTGGATGAAGGTCTAAGTGGCCGGCATCAGAGAAGTGGATGAAGGTCTAAGTGGCCTTTATCAATTCAGTGAATGAAGGGCTAGATGGCCGGCATCAATGCCGCGGATGAAGGTCTAAGTGGCCGGCATCAATGAGAAGTGGATGAAGGTCTAAGTGGCCTTTATCAATTCAGTGAATGAAGGGCTAAGTGGCCGGCATCAATGCAGCGGATGAAGGTCTAAGTGCCGGCATCAATGAAGTGGATGAAGGTCTAAGTGGCCGGCATCAATGCAGCGGATAAAGGTCTAAGTGGCCGGCATCAAACTATACATCAAGTGTCCACACAACAACTGCGTTCTCATCAAGGTATCTGACAAAAAATATCATTAAATTTGAATCATAAAATAGCTGATATTTTTTGCTAAACTGAGTGATCCAGCAGGATTGATGTTGAAATAATCATAACTTCACTTCAAGACATTAGGAAGAATTTTTGAGCTGTGAATCATTTTCAGAGATATGAATCTAAATTTCTCATCAACTACCCTGTTGCTGTCTTGTAGATATTGTGCCAAACTTAATAATGTAACTTGCATGGATTTTTCTTCATTATTAGGTGAATTATGGGTTAATATAATCTTATTTTATGTTGATCACTGAGGCACATGATTGTTTGATTACTGAAATGACGGAAATAATTAAGTCAATGATAACTATGGATATGCCATTTCAATTTGAATTCAGTTACAATTTTAGCAGGTACAAACAGTAGGATTTCAGATTCAACAATTATCAATACTAACAATTATATACATGTTAATATAATGATTCTATAACTTCTTACACGTGGCACATAATTCCATTATTAATTAAAAAAAACTTTTTTTGAAGGTTACCAAAAATCCTAAATAAGTGTGAACAGGAATTGACCGACCTTAAATCCTAATCTGGCCTTTAAACTCTAAATATATCTAATCATATCAAGTTTCTTTAGAAGTTGAGACCAATAACCTTATTTTTCTTCATGTAGAAAGTTTACATCATCCCAAGTGCTCATCAAATAGCTATAAACCTCATGAAGTGTTTCACCACCTGACTTTTCTCATGATTTCATTTACTGTACTCCATTACAGATCAGAATCACTCATGACTAAAATACAATTTTTGAGGTGTCGTGAAGAATGCATTTTTCATTTAGGCAACAACAATAAAAGTTACAATGTTCCTAAGGAACATGAATTGCTTCACGGTAGCTATAACCTATACTATAATTCCCCCCCCCCAAAATAGCTTCTGATCTGCTACTTGTTATTACAGCTATTCTTGCGAGTTGAGACGGTTGCTCCAACCTCGACGCTGATGATGGATTGAGCGGTTCAGCTATTGGTCCTACCTGTCTCGACTTCACTCCTTCGGGAGCAGCCGGACTAAGGAAATACCTTGACAAGCAGTAAGTTGATTGTGAATTTGATGTACAATGTAATCTGTGCAACACATGATAAATTATTAAATTGTATTTAGCATTACCATTATATTATTAAAAATATGTCTAACCAATATTCAACGCTCCTTTCAATAATGACCTAGTCGTAGCAGCCTTGCTGACATTTGTTAGCAAGGCCTAATTGTCGTTAGGTGAAGCTGCACAGCTCCAAGGAGTATTTCAGCTATTTCAAAGATGCCGTAAACAGGAGTGACTTTACCATAAATTGGCATGAGTTCGTCTAGCAATAAGATGGGTTTTGCATCATACATTGCATCAGTCAGATTGTGTTGAACAAAGTGGCAGTACTAAGAAAAGTTGACTCATAATTCACAGCAATCCCAGTAAAGTTTTCAGCTGAAATTCAGTCATACACCTTGCTTACAATAGCTTTAATAGTGACCTGTAAAGTGATTTGACCATTTAAAATTATTTTCAGGCGATGGCGCAACGTTGAAGATGACTGACTGGGGCTTGGCCCGGTATACCTGGTAGCCAGGGTTCATCCTACCGCCCCATCTTCCTCATATGTCCAGCAGCCAGTTCTTGGACTCACACGTGGACGACCTCACGATCTTCGTGTCGTCCTCGATTCTTGACGCTGCGGAGGCTGACCTCGCTGGGCTTCTTCGGGGCGCCTCCGACTGGTCTGCCTCCAAGAAACTGGACCGTGCAAGTCATCCGTCACGTTCATCACCACAGACACCCACCAATCCCGCTCACCCCCTTCCGCCACTATCTGCAACGGCAGTATCCCTCTAGACTATAGAGTCTAGATAAAACTCCCAAAATTCTAGGCGCACCTCGGATACCCACTACACGTTTTCACCAAATGTCAGAGCTACAGCCACTAAAGCGGTGGGCTCTCTACGTATCCTTAAAGCCCTGGCTGGCACTAACGGAGGTTTATCCAAGGAGGACCTCATCGTCACCTACCGGACAATCATGCGCCAGATCCTCGACTGTGCTGCCCCACCACCGATTGCATCAGAAGAGGCCTCGCTTCCTCGCCTCCACCGCACTTCGCTATCCCATGCAGCTCCGCTCGGGATACTGTAGTTCCCTGGAGTACTACACCGTAATTCAGGGTCGGACGCTCCCCCAGCTGCCCGAAAAGCGGGGACCCCCTCCAGCCGTCCAGCACGTCTTTACCTGTCCCTCCTTCCCACGTCCCTCAGCGTCTCCTCATTGTGGGGCAGTCCCGAAGAGGCGGCGGCGTTCCTGGCCACCCTTTCTGCCTTCGCCCATCTCCCTCCACTTCCGGTACCTCTCCCTCGACCACCACCAGAGCCTAAAGCCCTGCTAGTGTGACGCCGGTGCCAGAAACAATAACTGGGGCTTGGGAGCTTCGTGAGCCACATTCAAACCATATCCCATGGTACGCATGATTTTGGACTGTGGGAGAAAATGGCGGTATGACGCTCCTGCAGCATCTGTTCACTATACTGGTTCATCTTTCCTTAAGGGGGGAAGCTGTGAATTATATAACTGCTACCGCGCTACAGTCTTCTGTACAGCGGGTGTGATTACCGCCCACCGGTGAGCTCACTGCACTTGCTACAGCTGGGTCAATCAAAGTGTCACGCAGTCCTTCCGTCCTACAATCTTGAAATTGGGTTCCGACCTTCAGCTAACTGCATCAAAAAAATAATGTAATGAAGTGGGACTGGTCAGTGCGTCGAAATTGAACCTTGCCAACTCAACAATTCATTCTTGATAAACATTAAAAGCTTTCGGCGAAGACTAGAAAAGGCTAAAAAATGATATTGGTTAATATTTAGAAAACTCTTCTCACTATTTAGTTTAATTGACAAGTGCCTGGGAAGTTATTCAATATCAAGATTATGATGATTGAGGTTAAAATATAATTTACCCATCCGGCCCTAGTTAAATAAGAACCTTATTTTATTTTGTTATACATCTTACTCGCTCCTGCTGTGTAAATAAATTTCATATGTTACAAATAAACTGTGATTGATTAGTTAGGAACAAATTTGATATTGAATTGAAGGAAATAAGTTGATCAGAAAGAATTTGACACTTGTCACTATTTTTTAGTGGTTTAGTTTCTTATATATTTTTGCAATTTTACAAGCATTTCTTTAACGATCGGAATTTTATGACGCAAACGTAACATTCTTATTTCTCAAGTTTGCTGGACGTCTCCCTGATGAATTAATAGTTTGTCGATGAGTTTATAAAGTTTGTTGATGAGTTGATGAAGTTTGTTGATGAGTTGATGAAGTTTGTTATCAATTTCATTGTGATAAAGTTTGAAACTCGGTCCTTCATGCCATACTTTGAATCCTAAATCAAATCAAAGTGTATTACAAACACGAGCCACATGTTTTCACGGTCAGAGTTATTATCGGTGTTAAATTTTTACGACTGCAAAAACCTATTTTTCGATAAAGCCTATTATTATTTCCTTTTTTGTCTACTTCATCTCATGTCATAGTTTGCTTCTATGTTTCAACTTTTTTAACGAATAACTGCTTTGAGTAACAACCATGATTAACCTGTTGAATTGTATTCTTCCAATCATTGAGTATAGGCTCTGAACCAAAGATTGAAATGTTATGGCATGATTCGAGATTTTTATTAATATATGTTATGAAATTTATTTGCAAGTTTGCCAATGTCAATATTATAGGAGAAAGTGCGGTAAAATGTGGCATACGGAACAGAAGGATACGTCCATTATTTTATGAATTAAAATTTAATATTGAACAACAGCATAAGGTAATAATAGCACATAAGTTAGTGCATTGATTGTCGTAGCAGGGAGACGTGTTGCCCGGTCCTGCATTCCCTGGTTTTCAACATTTTGTTTAAAGTAAGCCAATTTAATATTTTTCTTATGGTATTAAACTTAATAAGTGTGTTTATTTTACGAACTAAATCCTAATTTTCTGTGTGATTAATTATTATACAATATAATCAAAATTAATTATATTGGATAATTAGTAACTTTGTTCATTAACAATAAAATCGCGGCGAATTGTTTACAACCTGGCTGTTCGGGGTACAAAGGGGCAATTCTCAAATCGAACGAGACGTAAGGACTGCATGGAAGATGATGGTATATGAAGAGACACGACATTAATTTGAGAGATTATGGAACTGTCGTAATTTCCTTTTGGTTTTTCGGGCACATTTCGTAAAATCGATGGTCGAAATTGTTCGATTGGGATAACCTTCCTGCTTAAAATTGGTAGATCTGATTAAATGTCGGGACGAATTTGTGAGGCATCAAAATTGGGGAAATGAATGTGGAAAATTAAAATGCATTTTGTATGAGTCATTAATAATTCCAATTTATAATTGTTGATGCTAAGTTTCAAATTTATTTGCAGTCTATGTAAGTTAGATATAACATAATTGTCTCCATATGTCATATTTTAACGAACGTTTTTAAGTTATCAAGCGAAAAACTATATACAGCATCAATTAGAAATCGGTCCACATATGAACCGATCTGAGGTCACTCTGCAATATGTGCACTTTTGCTAATCCTGCAGATCTAAGAAATGAGAGACGATGAGTAAATAAGAATTATTATTTAAAGTTCCCGCCGCCCAAATAAGATAAAAGTGGACATACGAGAACTTGCGTCAATTACTTTGGTAAAGATTATTCGTGAGAAATTGATCGACTGATGCTCCTGACTGACATGAACTGTTTTCGCGCATTAGATCATTACCTGAATTCGATTAATAATTCTATGCAATTATTACAGTACCTCAATGAATTGCTAAATAAATGAATTTCACATTCAACATAAGAAACCCAGATTAAATTTAAAGCTATTAATAAGTTTCTCTCAGACTCAGATCGGAATTTATTGAGTGAATCAACTTGGCGACGACGACGAAGAATCAGATGATCTGGCCAACAGCTGCAGCAAGAGCTATATAGACAAATTGTTCTTGTTGAAGTCTTGTATGTTGAAGTGTTGGATTACTTCATTTGCTCTGCTGTGCTACAAGTTCAAAATCAAGTAATCTGTGCCTGTGTATACCTAGTACTTCTAAGTGAATTGTGAAGACGATCAACTTTACGATTAGAAGAAAAATCGTGACACAAAAGTACATTTAAACTCGAGTGACAAATGCGTGAAAAGTTAATGTCGGTTAATAATTATAATTGATAATTTGTTCTCGCAAATCGTGTAGAAATAGCCTATAGTCATAACCTGGAAGATGGTGTCCCATCCCCAGACCTCGGAGGTTCAGTAGAGAACTCGAAGAAGTCAGACGATGAGATTGGATACGAGTCTCAGAAGAAGCAACAGGTAAATAGTAACAGGTAAAATACATGTTGAACAGCACAATAGACGAAAATTTATCCTGCCTTAATTTTAATGCTTATAATCATACCCTCGTACTAGTTTTTCGTCTGATAGAGACACTGTAAAAGATTTTCATATTTTATCAGAGACGATCATGGTCTGCCTTTGATGTACGGCATAAGTGTATGCGGTCATCAGATCAGTCCCACAGGGAGAGCTTTTCCTGAGTAAGATTCCCTCCTGCTGCTGTGCTGCCATACCTCAAATGAACTGTTGTTGGTAGCGGAGGCGTAGTGTTCTGAACAATTAAGTGTGTGCTTTAACCCAATACGAGTACCTGTAGTGCTTATGTCACGCTTTTCAGTTCCCTACTGACCCACACTGCCAAAACTTGCAACACTAAACGCTTTTACTTTGTTATGATTTCACGGTAGAATAAACTGATGGTACTCGTTAAATGAATAAAACCAACGTGCCTTCATACTATAAAATAAATAGTCGTGTGATGATCTCGCGGCTCCCGACAGATCTTGAGGAACGTGCGCGGCAAGAAACTTTGTGTGGCCCGTAATTTGTTGGATTGATGGGAAGACATTGTGCTGCACCGCCCGTGGTTCCTCTGGATGCAACATAATTCGTGGACAAATTTATAATTTGAATAACGAAGAAAAAAAAAGAAAATTACATGTTTGACACAGCTGGGAAATTGACTTAGCTCTACTTACTTGGGCTTGGATGTATTGTCTTGTTTTATATTATGTTTGTATTGTTTTTTATTGTATTTTTGTTTTTCATATTCAACGGCAACTTGTGGGTATGGGGATTGAATTGAAACGCTCGTTACGCGTAAAATAAAACGTGTATAGATTTGATGTTTGATTTAATTTATTTAAAAAGACATAGAGACGTGTATAGATTTATGTTTGATATAATTAATATTACCTGAGACATAGAGACATGTATAGATAAATGTTTGATTTAATTACTATTACAAAAAAACAGAGACGTGTATAGATTGATGTCTAATTTATTTACTATCACAAAAGACATAGACGTGCATAGAGTTAATGTTTGATACAATTTATATCACAAAAGACAGAGACGTATATAGCTTAATGTTTGATATAATTACATTACAAAAACATAGAGACGTGTATAGATTGATGTTCGATCGTGATGTTTCAGCACTTGATCACTCCTAATTCTTCAACATATAGCGGAATCAACCGCTTTGGAATTAAATGTTTCCAAACAATTTTCATGCTCAGTAATTTTTCCGCCGTACGCTGATCCGTAATGCTATCCCGTAGAGTGGCGCGACTGCGTGCCGTAACCGTAGCGATCATGAAAGTCCTCTGCCTTAATAACGGCCGTATTCCGTCCAGTGGCCGTGCCGGATGATATTTGTTGGGCCTTCATAATTGTCTAAATGATTGCGAGAATTTCATGGATATTCAAGCTAATCAAATTTAATGATAATGATTCCACTGGGATGTTTTCTGGAATATTTCAACTTTTTTATAAGCGTTAATTGTAGAACCTGAGCCAATATATGTGTCGTTAACTTGAGAAATTTGGTGATGTTAGATCTCTTTATTAACTTCATCATAATGATTAATATCATAATAATTATCATAATAATTTATCTTTATCATGATATGGGTCCTTCCGTGACCCATATTTTTCTTAACGGGAGGCTCACTAAGCACGAGTAAAAGTGGTAGTAGACGCATCTTCTTTATTTGATTTTTTAAGTATAATTCATTGTTGTCTCTGTGTCACCAGCACGGCCATGGAGCATCGCACACACCTGTAGGAGCTCCAGATGAAGCTGGTGACAGAGAAGACGTTCCTGGATCGTCCAGCTACGAGCCACGCACCGAATGTGCTGCTGCAGCACCTGGCCTGCATTATATATCATTTGTTAGCTTTCATATGTTTGTGAACACCCAACTCGCCTTTAGACCAACACATTTTAGCAGAAAATTGAAGCAAGAACAAGATTCCATGTCTCAAATTAGTCAGTTCCTTTTGCGACTTCTTTTTAGAATTTGGATGAATTACTTTTTAACGACTTTTTAATCCGTCTTGTCCAAGAAAAGATAAGATATTTACTAACGAAATCTTACCAATCTATGTAAAAGGAATAATCTCCTGTTCGCGGATATCGCTATACAGATTCACACCTAAGTAGGGAAATACGAAAAATTTGATGGTAAATATGTTGAAGATTTGAAATTATTTTTCCCACTGGCACCGTTTATTTACCTATTAGTATTTTTGTGTATCTTTTCTTAATCTAATTGACATTGCTATTAACTCAAATAATACCTATTTTTTCACGTAATACATTCATTTCAGTTTGTATACACGTTCGTTTTCATCCCTTCTCCTTGGCAGAGCATATCCAGTCACGCTCGGTACGTACGCCTTCGATTAGATGAAAGTGTGTCTGATTATAATTATTTAAGTGAAGAAACTACATTTTTATATTGTTCATCATGGAAACATGAATAAAAAAAATTTTGACCAAAAATGCTGATTAGGTTTCGGGTAAAATTTTAATTTATTTTTGAAACTGATATCGATGCTATTATCTTGAGAGTAGTTCTATGGACACAGTTCGTTTACGCCACAGCGCAGATCTCGGGTATTGACTTCGTCTTATTTACTATGTAAAGTTATCACGGTAGCAGGTTAACGTGAATTTTTCTACATAGTCTCTCCTTGGTGCGGGTTGCCGACGTCTCTTGCTTATCAATTGCTACCGCCCCTAACACAAGACGTTATAGAAGTGTACTTATACACTGCTAATGCCCTAAACATAAGACGTTAGAGGTGTACTTATCCTCTACTAATGCCCTTAGCACAAGACGTTAGAAATGTACTTATCCACTGCTAATGCCCTTAACACAAGACGTCAGAGGTGTAACTTATCCACTGCTAATGCCCTTAACATAAGACGTCAGAGGTTTACTTATACACTGCTAATGCCCTTAACACAAGACGTCAGAGGTGTACTTATCCACTGCTAATGCCCCTAGCATGAGACGTTAGAGGTGTGCTTATACACTGTTAATGCCCTTAACACAAGACGTTAGATGTGTACTTATCAACTGCTAATGCCCATAGCACAAGACGTTAGAAATGTACTTATCCACTGCTAATGCCCTTAACACAAGACGTCAGAGGTGTAACTTATCCACTGCTAATGCCCTTAACATAAGACGTCAGAGGTTTACTTATACACTGCTAATGCCCTTAACACAAGACGTCAGAGGTGTACTTATCCACTGCTAATACCCTTAACATAAGACGTCAGAGGTGTACTTATCCACTGCTAATGCCCTTAACACAAGACGTCAGAAGTGTGCTTATCCAATACTGCTGTCCTTAGGCTTGGATCTTGCGAGAGGAGAAAGGACTTCTTATAGTATTATTTTTGTATCATTGCTCACATCATCAGTTTATTGATAGGAGGTCCATTGCCTTTTGATTATATTCTTCAGTATTATGTGAAGGCTCGGCATAGTTGTTACAGATGAACTATGAACTTAACTTGAATTTTCTTTAAGGTAATTGATGATATGGTGGCAGGTAAAGTAAACTGTAAATTCTCATATATACAATTCATAATGAGTGCCTGAAGCCGCAATCGTGGATTTTTATGTCAATTCTAATAATCACATTTGACGAGGTATAAAATAGTGCGAGTAATCAGCCCTGATCAACATGGGCTTCGGGTTATTGCAGTACGACATATTTTGTCATTGTACTCGAATTTTCAGCTTTTGGACTCCATGATAAGAAGTAATCTCCAACCAACGGCACGGGATTGACCTCAGGAACATCTCTATAAATCAACTGAGGATAGTGATGCAAGTCACGCAAGTCTTCGACTGCGAGAGAGTAGTTGGTTCTTGTTCTGACCTTCTTGAAGTGGCAGATGGCTGATCTGTTCGTTGGCTCCATTGGCACTTGCAAAGACTCAAAAATTTCACTCCCCTTTCGGACGAAAATAAAGTCTGGCACCTCGGCACACAGCGCGTCGAAATAGTAGTAACCTTTGCTGATCATGAAACGAATGAAACTCTGGTCTTCGTAGCCAGTCACGTGTTCTACAGCCCAAACATCCACGCTTATTTTCTCAAACGGAAAGTAGAATAATATTTTCTCTTCGACTTGCTCCACATCTAGGACGAAGAAATCGACGTGAGTGATGTTTAATGCCAGAAGTAGTGAAGAAACTGGCACGCACTGCGCCGATGAGAGTACAGTGTTGTAAAGCTCGGACTCCGTGGCTAGCTCATATCTCTGCACAGCAAAGAACTGGCGTTTAAACATGCAAAGATAGAGAAATATAGCAGTTCCAGGTAAGCTAACGATAACGTGTAATTATAGCATTTACTTCACGCTGGCGGTTTCTATCCCAATTTTAATATCCTTTGTCCTAGTCTGATTGAGAACCGAGAGGCTTCGAACGGGCTCGGCTCTTCCCTATGCGTTTCTTCACAAATTAGATTAGACTTTACTCAACTCGTAAATGAGATGGCGTTGCGGATTTTTCCATGCTTACACAGCTATTTATTTATAAACGGTGGACAGGAACAAAAAATATGTAAACTTTGCATTAAAAGAGTTTGAATGAAAGGAAATTTCAAGAAACTTTGAATATTATTGTTCATCAAGTCTGCGACTTTTATACTTTTTTCGAGATGTAAACGGGCTGTAATTTTTGTTCTCCATTGAATGGTATACTCGGTATTCCTTGATCAGCCTCCTTGTTATAAATATTATTTCTCAAAAAACAGTTATGATCGAGCCTGCTGATACGCGGAGGAAAAATCCCGCATACCAGCTGCTCAAATGCGGCGTTGTGGAAAGTTTGAGGGGAAAGAGACGTCGTAAATTACTCGACTGTCAGTTCACGACGGGCGGCATGGTGAAGGCGAACTCAATGAGGAACGAAGAATAATACGTGGCCAGTGGTCGGCCTAGTCCAATTAGTTATAGCCGACCGTTGGCCATTCCTCGGCCACCTGAAAGCAACCAGTTGCCGCGAGAAAGGGGCTGGCTAGGATATCATATTACAAAGAGTACAAGCTCGAGGGTAGCAACTGGCCGAGCTTCGGGCAGATCAAGGATTTTACACGATGGTCGCGAAAACCTCGCTCTCAGACTTCGCTGCATTCTGACTACAAGCCTTAAGCAAACTTTTAAGTGAAGACAATTTTTGTTATCCCGAAATTATCGTAATGGCAAATAGATAAGTCCCAGCGGATCAGCGTTGAATTTTCAGGCAGTTATTCAGCTTATTCTCTAATTTATTAAATGATTAGTGCTTAACACAAGATAATCTGGCAACAATTCACAACAGTTGCCACACTTAGCGCAGATGATAAAATCTTCCGGTTGGCTATTGAATACAAACAGTGCATTTACTATATATGCTAGTTGTAAGTTCATTAAGGCAGATGAACGCACCTAACACTACTTACTAATATATCAATATCAATACTAGTTTAATCTATAATATAATAACATATTAATAATAATATGAAACGAAATTTAGCAGTCCACGGCGAGGACCTGCCACGAGTATATGCCCTGCACTCACCGAAAAGAGCCTGCCAGTGCCCTGTATGAGGCTTGGGGTTCCATGACCCTCCACGGCGCGCCAGAGGAGCATCTCCTCAGCGTATGGGGTGACGGAGAGGCAGACGGCGCTCGTCCAAGCCTTCCTTTGTTTTGATCTGTTCTCGGGTCACAGAACATTAATAATAATTATAATTAACTACAGACACAAAGCAATTAATTAGCTAATTATGTCAATTACGAAACTGAGCCCTACATGTCTCGCCTGTATGGGGGCAACATCACCATCAAAAATACATGCTCGAATGACGGAAGCAATGATAACGAACGCTGTTACAACATTAATACATTAATATACTGAAAACATTACCCTTAAAGCGCCAATTTTTCATGAAATACTTGGTGACAAAGCTGAGCTATAGCAACTTGTAATATGGAAAATGTTTCACCCTAATTGCTTCGGCTGAGCGGGAAAACTGTCCGGGGAGGGGGCAAAGTTGACGGGACTATATATTGAAGTTAGATTTAACCTGAGCACAATTATCCGATGACTATGTGAAGGATAAGTAAAGACAAACTCTGTCTAGCCTATAGACTTATCTTGACAGACTCGCATACGTCGCAGAGTCATTAGAGGTACAAACACGGCTATAACAGTTTGGACCATACGGTCGGAGTAAGTCTTACAATGAGTGCAACATCGCGCGGTGGTCCTGTTGGCTAATGAGGAGCTTATTAAAGTGACCATCACTTTTATAGACTTACTTCCTCCGCCCACAAAGCTCTTGTCCTAGTGAAACATAAGCTGTCGACTCAGCGCTTACGGCAAGCTAAAAGTTAACTAGGTCTGCTAATAAATACATCAGGATTTGTATGCACAAACTATTCACTGACACGACCCCTCTTCGTAGAAGATCGTCCTCGATCTTACGATACAAAACCAAGAAATTACATTGTTCTGAACTCCTGTCAAAATCTCTGAACTCCTGGTCCGAATTGCATCTCATCGCTTAAGTATACTGTAATGTAATTCGTAACACTAATTGATAAAAACATTGGCATAGAATTCCTTTTGGTAATATCATGGAAAATGAATAACAAAATTTTATTAAGAGGTCCATCCCTAATGAAATTTGGAAGAAATCTCAACTGGGAATATTGAAAAACACTTGGGGGTATTCAACTCGACGTTCTATACGGTGGGTTTTCGTCTTAAATTACCTCTTTACAAAAATATTAGTGCTATACCATCCAGACTTGCAAGTCAAGGCACTTTCCAACTGAGGAGTAAGAAGCTGAAAAGTTTAAAGTTTCTGCTTCTCCGGAACGATTTTCCTCAACAAATTTTAAGCAGGAGGTAACTAATGTCAATGCCTAAATAATAGTCGCGTAAGAAGCACTATAAAAGACACACGAAAGCTTATTTATTGAATAAAAAATTCACGAAAAAACAACCTATGATTTCTGAAATCGTTGCACGTGAGATTATAGTGTACTGCTTCCACTCCAGGTGATTTGGGTTACCAATAGTGTATCTATATATCGAAATTTAGATAGATTTAGTTTCGGCTACGACGTCAGTGGTAACTAAAATTAGCTTCATTTGACGTTGGTTATTTTAACATAACATAACATAACATACTGATCTCAGCGCTGAAGTGCATGTAGGCCTGATGTGGCCAGTCGCCGATTCTTTTCCTTTTCGTGCCTTGTTCACAGAAGATCTAATATCGTTTCATTTGACCGGATATTTTCATGACTGACGATAGTTTCAAGTAGCTACTAGACTTGCACCGGGTTTGATATGGTGCTAGGCATTTCAAATCTGAACATATATTTTTCCATAGCTTTATCTAGTCTGTTCTTGAACGCGTCCAACGATGTCAGCCTCCAACGATGTCAGCCTCCAACGATGTCATTGGGGAGTCTGTTCCACATGTCGGTGATTCGAAGCGAGAGGAAATTTTGTCGTGTGGAGATGTTGCAGCGCAGTTTTTTTTAGTTTATAGCCGTGGCCCCTGGTGTTGGTTCTTGTTTCAAATTCTAGTAATCCTTCGGGGACCTTGTATAAACCATGAGTATACTTGTATAAACTGACAGGGCGATAGTTGCCGGGGCTCCTTTTGTCACCTTTTTTGAACAATGGTGTTGTTGGATAAATGTTTAGTGCACATCTGTTAAATGTATCAGTATGTGTATTGTAAATTGCGCATTTCATCTCTGCTCGTTTAGGTCTGACGTGTCCGAATTTGTTTCTGCTCAAACGCTTAATTCATGACGTGAATAATAGAACAGAATAGAAGTGTCAGCACTGAAGAAATAGGCCATGGCCTGTTGCCGATTCTTGTACTCTTCGCGACTTGATTCCACAAGGGTTCCGGTCTTTTGAACCCGATCTTTCCATAACTGACGATTGATTGAGATAGCTGCATGCTGGGCTTATTAATGCCAGGCTCGTAAGGTGCTATAGGCATTTCAAGACTGAACATATGTTCCTGCATGGCTTCGTCAGTCTGTACTTGAATGCGTTCATACTCGTTTTACAGCACTAATAATCTATTACCAACGTTAATCAATATTAGCATCAGTACATTTCCGATTCAGTTCTACGTTGAGTTACTGGTATGAACATCCTGTAAAATTCATATAAAATCTTAACCATCCCACGACCAGGTGCAGTCATGGTTGAACTTCAGAGATCAACACGTCTGAATTCCAGTGACCTGAGTCTGCTGTCTTTGCTACCACACGACCAGGCGCAATCGTTGTTCAATTTTCAGATACAAAAACGTCTGACTTCGAGAGATCTGAGTCTGTTGTGTTTGCTACCACACGACCAGGCGCAATCATTGTTCAATTTTCAGATACCAAAACGTCTGACTTCCAGTGACCTGAGTTTGCTGAAGTTGTTTCGGTCAGGCTCGACGAGCAGCCCCTGCCAGCCCAGCTGAAGCTCCAGGTTGAGCGTGTGCGACATGTACTCTCCGTCCAGCGCCCCCGCCTCCACGAAGAACCCCTTCTTCCCCCTGCCCAGAGTATAAGTATACATTAATTATTATTTCAAATCAAGGATCACATATTAATAACAGCAGCACCAAAACTGCTTGGCCCTTCCTACATAGCAGGGTGCTAATGGGAAGGGGTACATTCTATCAAAGCCTCACCTCCTCAGTACTATTGAAGACATACCAGTACAAATAGGTTTTTCATTCAAGCATATCGAATCATATATTTAATTGAACACTTCACTCCGCACCTGCCCAACGTTAACAACTCCAGAACAAACCAAGGTTCAATGGTGGCTGCCGCATTTTTTCAAAGACCACAACCACTGCACATCGCAATTTATTTCTCTTCATTGCACCACGAGTGTGCAGTGTTAAGCTAACATACTGTATTTGGTCACGACTGCTTTCTATTTTATTTAAATCTCTTATAATTTTTTTCTATTTAATCCACATGAGGCAGGATGGTCCAGTAGCTAAAGTTCAGATGACCAAGATTGGAGCAGTGCGTTATTGTTCGATCCCAGCTTCCTGCTATACAGTATGGCCGAAATGGCGAGGAGATAGGGCGGTTATGCACAGCAAAATCGGCGCGGTGAGTTACGTGGTCGAGACACGCAGCAAGCTATAAAAATTCGGCGATGTTTAGAATCGGTTACAGGTCTAAAGGCAGAAGCAACGCTGACACCGCTATGTACTATTTCCATTGCATAGGAATACTGAGTTTCTACGACTGAAACTCTGACTATTTGCCTACAAATTACTGTAATTCATTGGGAACTTTAGTACCATTCATGTATGTATTCAGTATACACATTATAAATGTATAATACACAATGTTCATTATAATGAACATTGATGCAAGACCATGCAAAGAAAAATAATATCATGAACTGTTCTAGAAAAATCATGTTCGCCCTAGAGACGTTCTCAAATATGCATGCCTTGCATGCTTCTGTGACCTGATCATGCCAGTTCCTAAAGATGGGGAGGGTTGCATTTACCTGTACAAGTCTACCGTCACCTGACCATGCCAGTTCCTAACGATGGGGAGGGTTGCATTTACATGCACAAGTCTACCGTCACCTGACCATGCAAGTTCCTAAAGATGAGGAGGGTTGCATTTACATGTACAAGTCTACCTGCACCTGACCATGCAAGTTCCTAAAAATAGGGAGGTTGCCTTTGCCTGAACAACTGTCTGACGATGCTGGCGATGAAGATGGCAGTTCCTAAAAATAGGGAGGTTGCCTTTACCTGAACAACTGTCTGGCGATGCTGGCGATGAAGATGGCGGAGAGGTAGACATTTCAACAAGTCTACTTGCACCTGATCATGCAAGTTCCTAAAAATAGGGAGGTTGCCTTTACCTGAACAACTGTCTGGCGATGCTGGCGATGAAGATGGCGGAGAGGTAGACATTTCGGCGACTGGAGGCGATGGTTAGGTTGTAGGGCAGGCGTGAGGGCGGTAGGAGCAGGTGATGCTTGATGTATTCTATGAGGCGCGGGTCGTCGGCCATGAGGGGGCCACGCATGCGCCATGCTATCTGCCCAATTTGTGCAACATATTACTTACATTATATTATTATGGGTAAAAATTAGTAATGCATACAAAATAACAAAATAAAATGCAAAAAATGGCGAATTCGGATTAAGCAAGACAATGTTAAAGTCACAGCTATATATCCCATGCAATCCGGAAGACATAATTTTCAAGCTGTTGAAGTTATGTTAAAACATGTAAGTATTTACTTGCAATTAGTAAACTTGGGATAAAATTTTACTTGGGATAAAATTTTTAAATCTTAAACATTAAACCAAAATTGTTAAAGCATTCACAAACAGACTTCTTCATTAGACAGAATTTAGTGAGAAAAAATTTACATCCACCGATTGTAATTTTTTGCGGGTGGTTACAAGAGCTCACGCACCTCGTCTTGCGTGTCACTCTGCCCCCCTAGCACCGTGACGGCAGCGTGCGAGGAGAGCTGGCAAAACAAAAATAAGATTAGATGAATTGAACAAAGTTTGCAATTGATCTAAATTATGACAGTATTAAGATTGGTTAAACTATTTTTGTATAACTTGAATAATAAAGTTATTCAACAACAACAAATAGGCTTCTTTTACTAAAATGAATACAACAAATGTTGCTGTATATGAGCCAACAAATATGCTTCTTTTAGTAAAATAAATACAACAAATGTTGTTGTATATGAGTCAACAAATAGGCTTCTTTTATTAAATGAATACAACAAATGTTCTTGTATATGAGTCAACAAATATGCTTCTTTTAGTAAAATACAATTGAGGGATAAAACCCTTCGGTTTCACCACAAATTGGTCAAGTCGCGCTGCACTCTGAACGCTGCGAGTTGAACTTTTAGATCCGCTGCACTTTTCCAAACGCAACCCAAGACCCAGCTGATAAATGACGTTGAAACAACGTTTAATTTATTGATCGTTGATTCAACGTAAAATGTCTTGTAGTTTAAAATGTCTGAACTGTCTGTGGAAGCAATAACTTATAAGAGTTCGGGTATTAGAGTTGTCATCATTAGACATAAAGTTTAATATTAAGACTAATATTTTGAATGTAAGAATGGAAGTGACTCACCGACGTAGAAGACAACATGACAAGAAAGAACGCGAGGGCCGCTGTCGCCATCAGCAACATCCAGTGTCGTCGCATGGCCGCCATGTTGGCCCTATTTCAATGTGCTACAAATAGATAAATTAACTATACATATTTTTACTAGTAAACATATCGAGATATCAAGCGCATTCTATTGTCCTTTTTAGTTTGTGTGAAACTGAACATGAATTATTTCAATAATAGATACAAGGAATTGATCATGGATCTATATAGTATATACAGATAAAAAACGCAATTTTTGTCCTTCGTAAAGTAAAAATCATATAGCCTTATCGCATCGTACATGAAAAAATCCGTTCAATAATCCTCAAATACATTTTAATTGTGTTGAATTTTCTATAGGAAAGAAAACAATGAACTAAAATGATGAAAATATAGTTGCTTGGTTTTTAAGTTAGCTAAAAAAGCCCAGTAGAGTTACGAAAATATTCACTTTTCACCAAGGTCAAGTCCAGCCAAGCAAAAATATGAACGTTAACACAGAGCTGTCAGCAGTTCACACAGAGCTGTCAGCAGTTCACACAGAGCCGTCAGCAGCTCACACAGAGCTGTCAGTAGTTCACACAGAGCTGTCAGCAGTTCGCACAGAGCCGTTAGCAGTTCACACAGGGCTGTCAGTAGTTCACACAGCGCTGTCAGCAGTTCACCCAGAAATGTCAGCAGTTCACCCAGAGCTGTAAGCAGTTCACACAGAGCCGTCAGCAGCCCACACAGAGCGGTCAGTAGTTCACACAGAGCTGTCAGCAGTTCACACAGAGCCGTCAGCAGCTCACACATAGCGGTCAGTAGTTCATACAGAGCTGTCAGCAGTTCACACAGAGCTGTCAGCAGTTCACCCAGAGCTGTCAGCAGTTCACACAGATCTGTCAGCAGTTCACACAGAGCTGTCAGCAGTTCACACAGAGCTGTCAGCAGCTCACACAGAGCTGCCAGCAGATCACCCAGAGCCGTCAGCAGTTCATTCAGAGCTGTCAACAGCTCACACAGAGCTGTCCTGTCAGTAGTTCACACAGAGCTGTCAGCAGTTCACACAGAGCTGTCAGCAGTTCACACAGAGCTGCTAGCAGTTCACACAGAGCTGCTAGCAGTTCACACAGAGCTGTCAGTAGTTCACATAGAGCCGTCAGCAGTTCACACAAAGCTGTCAGCAGTTCATACAGAGCTGTCAGCAGTTCGCACAGAGCTGTCAGCAGTTCACACAGAGCTGTCAGCAGTTCACACATATTTCGCCTGCTATTTCATTGTTATTGCTATTGTTCCATTAGAACGGCTCAAAACCCCCCATGTAAATGAGAACTATTGCCGATTGCCTTGCCATTGAGTCACCGTAGCTGTCAATACCGCGGTTGGTAAGTGTTAGCGTAAGACTTGAGTCAATCAATCATCAATCATTACTCAATCAATAAATAATTACAGGGCAATCATTCTCAATGATTGATGTATTTTTGTTGAAGAAAATATAATAATATTTTCTTGCTGTGAATGCGGGCTGTGAATGCAGCGCATATTGCCGAAAAGAAAGCAATTTTTGATTAGCTTCATCTAATGAGCAAGCGAATGCAAATCAATTATGCACAACATTATAAGTCAACTATGACGTTTTAATTCTAAGTACATGGCAATTTTTTTTATTCGATTAGATATACGTTTCACATCACAAAGTCTACATCACAACAATTAATATATATCGTCTTTCTAGAGGAACTTGGTTCAAAGGATATTATTAGCACTCCACTCTCATGTTCGTAATAAGTCCACTTGAAAATAATTGGAACTCCAATCATTCCCTTATTTTTGTCTGAGACTATTTAACTAAATAACTGAAACTGATTAGATTAAGGCAACTGACATGGATTAGACTCTCCCAGTATTGTGCATGATAACTAGAGCCCTAATAACTTATTTGAGGCTGAATCACATCTTCAAACTCATGATGATACTTTCACGCACATCTAATTTTATCATGCCGCTAATGAGATCCCAAACAACCCAATGTAAAGTTTACACACAATGAATAGCAACATGTCTCCTACACTGGAATGTCTATACTACAGCATCACAAACGTAGTCTAGTCAAGGGCATGGTGCGTTCCACTCATACAGGAAAATGTGACTAAAAAATTGGACGTATATTTTTGCCTATTTTTCCGCCTTATGGCCAAATTTATGGACCAATCTAATCTATTAACGCAGGAACAAAGCTTGATTCTATCAATGCCAGATGAAGAGAACGATGATTAGCAACAGGATTGCGGTACGTCGGTTCAGACCGGAGACTCGTGATACGGCGATAATTGTCATGATGCATACATGATACGTGTGCACTATGCTCGTCCAGAATATAAATGAGTTATGCGGTTACCCAATGAAACTGGAAGATTCAGATACAATAAGCAATCTTAACATACGGGTGGAATAAACAAATTCACGATATATATAAAATATTCAATCAGACACAGATGAAATGTACATGCGTTATTAAATTGATAAAGCATAGAATATGTAATGAGAAAAAACGTGGAAGAAAATCGAGAAAACCATGCAAGGAACGGATACCAAGCCCCATGTATTAAAGACATAGAAAAATTAATAGATAAAGCAGATCCAAGATTAACATAACCGATACAAATACATGTTGATGTCGAGGCATTTCATGTTCTATAGTATAGCGATGTCAACGTTAATCGGGACGCTAGACCTGTCGCCAATTTTTAACACCGCAGAATATTCACAGATTATTTCGAGTCTCGAAACATGCAACTCACTGCTTCGATCTTTCTGGGCTTAACCGCCCATCCACCTCGCCGATTTGACTAAAACTGTAAGTCCACCGGGCCCGTTGGCCACCCTTTCCTTATCCGTTTTAATCAAGTTAATTGAAGTTAATTGGGCTACCTAGGAAGCGTGCAGCGTTCGTGTCGCTCGTAATTTGTTTGATTCTTGTTTATTTTGCACATTGTTCATCTTTACCAACTTTATAATTTATCCTTCCATAAGACTACCTTTTTTTTTGGACACTATGGGCTACATCTTACCTCTTTCTATTATTTTCCAGTTGCACTGCACTCGCATATGCATTATATATAGGCTACTCATGCAGATCATGAAAACAAGAAGGAATTTACTGATAAAATCCGCTGCAAAGGATGGGTTATCGCACTGTCCCGTTGCCGGTAGATGGGGGAGAGTCAGCTGGATGAACCGTAACCGTGGTCGAAGATGGACGTAACTTTGTTCTGCTCTGTGCCTGACTGTGCAATTTCCAAATACATAAAGTACATATAGTTAGACGCCTAATTTCGTCAGTACCGACAGATAGGAGTGGTGAATAAAAGTTCGAAGCTCCTTGACTCAACAGTGAACAACTTTCCAAGGATGCCGATCCGTCGCCGAAAACGACCTAAAGGAGGCAGTGCGTCAATGTCTGATTCAGAGTTTCAGACGGGGACGCCGGTTCTTCTGCTCTATCGGCTTCTGCGTCCGCGACATCAGCGGTGCCGAGAACTCCTCACAAGCAACCAAGACGATATCTGGATATCAGGCTGATCCAAACAGTCCATTATTGCCAGTTGCTGACATCAGTGACATGTCAGTTCTCTGACAAGAGACTCAAACTACATTCCGGAAACCTATAACTCAGCAGCAACTGCAGCATTAACTCTAACTGACCATCTGGCTTTGCCTGACTTGGACCTGGAGGATGCAGTGGAGTGTGTGGAAGTAGAGGCTATGATGTGAGTATGTCTGGTGATAACTGATAAGGTGGGTGGTTCCCCTATAAGTAATTTTGAAGGATTTAGTTCTAACTGCCTAAATGGCCCTAGTTGGCTTCCAAATGACTCAGATGTAATGTATCTGAGGGTGAGAGCCTGCTTACTCCTGCAGTGCTGCCCATAGAACTGCAGGCACCAAGACTAATCAGTCTAATGCCAACCTTCGAAACCTGGTTGAGCCCACCCAGGAGTCAGAGCGGACAGAGCCTGCTGCCTCAAGCTTGTTTGACCTTTGACGATTTGGGAAGGTTATTATCATTGAGCCAGTTGATGCCCACCCGGTTGATAAATTTTTCTCAAACGATCTGACTCTGAGTAAGGCCCTGGGCCCTGGCCAACTCACCTTTTGGCAGAGCAGGCATTTCCGGATTCAGCAAAAATCTTGGCCTGAAAATTCTTGTTGTTACCTTTGAGAGGGATCTTGGCACTGAGATGGCCTCTTTGTTGGAGATAAATCAGCTTGCATCTTGGAACATAAAGTGTCATCTTCCTGTCAGTTTTGTAAGATCTGTTGGAGTCATTGGCCCTCTTGACGAAGATGTTTCAAATGAAGACAGGGTTGGCGATTTTTTTTTTAAATCAATAAAATAAAAAATCAATGATTTTTTCATGATTTTTTTTATCTATTTGATTTTTTTGATTTTGTCAACTTTTTTGTCTTTTTGATGTGTTATTTTTTATGTTGCAATTAGCCTACTAACAATAACAGTATATGGATCATAATGGATGGCTAAAAAGGGCACTTATTGCCTTCAATAATGGCCAACAGGCCAAGGTGGTGTTTACCACTTAGGGATTTTTGGTTAAACAATTATTGGTACTATGTCTATTCATTAGCTTTGTAAAGTTTGTATGGAGCAAGGTAATAAGCTAAATATTGACCATTCAACTGGCTTCAATATACAAAAACACTTCAGGAATGCAGATCTTCTAAACATTGAAGAGTCACATAACAGATAGGTAGCTGATAGCACAGTGCACAGCACTATCAATAGATCCACTAGTTTTATGTCCTAAAAATTTACCAGACTCTACCTCTATACACACCAACTAGTAGTGACCTGTGACTAGCTGATACCACAGTGCACAGCACTATCAATAGATCTACTAGTTTTATGTCCTATAAATCTACCAGACTCTACCCTCTATACACACCGACTAGTAGTGACTGTAGCTGATAACACAGTGCACAGCACTATCAATAGATCTACTAGTTTTATGTCCTATAAATCTACCAGACTCTACCCTCTATACACTCCGACTAGTAGTGACTGAGTGACTGACTGCACTGTTCCCATTTAATTAAGACCAAACTTTGGGGACATCTAAAAGAGAAGTTCAGAAGTTGCCCTCACACCCTACCACAGCTAAGGGGATGGATTATTGCAGCAGAGGTTCTGGCCATACCTCCCCATATGTG